ATTAGCTGTCTATTAACTGTCTTACCATTTCACCACACATTAGCTGTCTATTAACTGTCTTACCATTTCACCACACATTAGCTGTCTATTAACTGTCTTACCATTTCACCACACATTAGCTGTGTCTGTTGGGACTTCTTGTTTGCAAGTGCAGCTTCTGAAATGTTCCAGAATTTTTACAAGATCCCAGTGGCATCCCTGTGTGCACTGTCGCTACTTTGTCCGTGATAGCGTAAGGGTTGGTGGGGGGGGCGGGGGTTCAATCACGTAAGGGTTCGGGGATGGCGGAGGTTCAACCCCAGTTAGCTGTTACTGGAGGGCTCCCATGAAACCTGAGTTGTTGCTGTCTGTAAATGTGTGCCTTGACTTGTGTCATAGAGGGAGGGGGAATGGTAGTCTGGTTTGCTGGCTGTAAATGTCTGCCCTGACTTGTGTCATAGAGAGAGAGGTAATGTTAATCTGGTTTGCTGGCTGAAGAGATTAGCGAGTCAAATTGAGCTCCTCTTCTTCAACTTCCCTGGAAGCACGAGGCACCTACTTTTGATGCGAGTATTTGTGAGATTTTCAAAAAGGGACTGCAGAAAGACATGATTGTGCCGAGGATTCTTCAAATTAATTGATGGCTTAAGATCTGCTGACTATTTGCATGTTTTTTGTGTTTGCTTACAGTCCCACGATACTGCGAAAAATGCAAATGTGTGAAGCCCGACAGATGTCATCACTGTTCCGTCTGCTCCACGTAAGTGTTTGTCTAGATCGGAGAACAAATGTTTGATGTGATAACTTATACTCCATTTCGTCCTTTTCTTCAATTGATTTTTTATTTTCCTCTCCGTAGTATTTAATTTGACTTCTGTGATTGCATTATTCAGATGGGCAGAGGTCTGGGATGAATAGTTTTTGCACCATTTATTTACAATACAATATTTTTGTTTTGAAATTGCCTTTTTTTTGTGGTGTAGGAAGTGAATTTGAGTGAACCTCATTCAAGTGTTCATTTCACTGAGCCCAAACAGTTAATGTTTCTGGAGTATTCTCCGTGGTGTTACTTTTGAGACTTTCGGTAATATGTATTAGACATTAGTTATGACTGACATTAGACATGACTGACATTAGACATGACTGACATTAGACATTAGACATGACTGACATTAGACATGACTGACATTAGACATTAGACATGACTGACATTAGACATGACTGACATTAGACATGACTGACATTAGACATGACTGACATTAGAC